CTTCATTCGTCTAAGAACAATACGGTCTTCCAAAAGTCCAGAGGCTTGGTCATCATATCACTTGCAAACGTCTTTCGTGAGACTATGTTGGCAGGTCTTATTAAGGGCTTTCGTCTAGCTGCTCTGCAACGATAACCCAATCTGTCGAGAATCCGTTGAACAAATTTCGGGCTCATCCCACCAACTTTGGCCACTTCTGCAGTCGTTAATCTGGGATCCATTTCGATGCTCCTCTTGACAGCCCTTTTTTGTCCTCTCCAATGGGCCAGGACGACCCGCACGCTGCTCAGTTGTTTCCTTGCCGTGTTTCCTGAACTGCACGCTGATTCTGTTGACTGTCGAAAGCGGGATTCCCAAATTCTGCGAAATTTGCCGCTGACTTATTCCACCATCTGCTTGACCAACTATCCTTCCTCTAACAACATCTGACATTTCGAGAGAACCTTGAGTTCTAGGCATGTTGTAGTACAAGATAATTAGTGTGCGGACCATTTTCATTTATATAGTGCTCTGTGACACAAATTAGTTAGCATAAATCAGTTAAATGACGAAAAATTAGGTGTATATTTACTTGTGACCACTCAATGTAGTACAGCCAGATATTACCATGGTGAGACCTTATCTATTCATAGAATGTCCTTACCCATAATGAAAGCTGACCGTGAATTAAACAACTCAACCAAAGGACAGATGCAAAAATTAATGCTTCAGGAGCTCGAGAATGAGCAATTCAAAAACCCTTACCTAGTGTGGGTGTTTCTTGTTGTCCAGCTAGATTAAGCCCAAACAACACTAGTAGAGGAGTGTAACCATGACACCTTTATAAGCAGTTACAAGTTAAGAAGATGTGCTGTACCGTTGTTACCAGCCTGCAAAACATGTTGCTCTGACAGTGCTACAGCTAATGGTCGCAAGAACTCTGCAGCAAGAAATACTCCAGACTTTGCACAACAGGAAGACTACAGAGCACTAACATGTAACCCAAACCTATACTTGTGCAGTGGTTCTTCTTGCCATGATGTCACTACTGTATGGTTTGTGCTGCCCAGAGTAAGACCGGCCAAGACAGGGTAATTTCCAGCAGATAATTGTTGGGTCTCTTCTGCAGAATGTGACTAAAAGAGGTCATCTGTACATACTTATGTTCATCAGCTATTTCAAAACTTGGCTGAAGCTTATCCATTTATAAATAGACTATCACAGATCTTACAGATACGGACCATGGAGCTAATTTCATCAATCAATTATTCGCTGATTTGTGTAAAATGTTAAGTGTAGCAAAGATTCGTACTTCATCTTATCACCCTACTCTGATGATGTAGCAGAATAAGTATTACAAACCATCAAGAAAATGCTTGTGAAGTTTGTCAGTCCTGATTGAACCGACTGGGATGGACACTTGCCACATGCAA